TCACAGCGAGCTGATGAGCAGTCCGGGACCTCCACCGGATTTCCCGGTTGAAGAAGATCCCAGACCACCCGAAACAGCTCTGCTGGACGACATTCTGAGGAAGCAATGCGGCTGGAGAAATATTGCCGTTTCGCCAGCCGTATTGCCACGAAATAGGCCCGATAATGGGCTCTAAGTCGTGTTTGATCGGATTCCCAGCGGGACTTCCTCCACCTGCGCTCCAGCCGTCTCCCCTCTCGCTTCATCGCCCGCAGTTCAGAAATATTGGAGTTATAGGTGAAAAAAAGAGTAAAAAATAACAAGAACATGGGGGCACCTTAAAGACTAACTTATATATATCTTTAATGTGAGCTTTCGTGTACAAGTCCACTTCATCAGACATGGCTGGCAAATATTAGTGGCCAGCACTTATGCAACTAGTCCATATAAGCAGCAGAGGAATGTACCTCCCAAGCCCCAGTGTTGGCCTTGTTGTTAGATCCAGAGTCTGAAAGTTTGAGTGTTTTAGGGAAAGAATTTAGCAATGCAGTGAGAATATTTACCAGGAGATTTCCATATTTTTAAAATAAGTGTTAAGTAAAAGGCAAAATCGTTTTGTCATTACTATAGGCTCAATATGTAGGGCTAGATACTGTCAATGCCTGGGTGGAAAACTGCGTGAGAAATCCCATGTACATCACCTTGACCTCCTTGGAAGAAAGGCAGACAAAGCATTTTCAGTCCATAAATGCATAGTTTGTCAGTTGTTTCATTGTGCCCTAAATAACATGAAAAAAGAAAAAGAAAAAGAAGGATGTACAGAAAGAACAAAACGCAAGCCTGAAATGCAAATTACAGAAAACTAAGTACAGTGATAAAATTAATGACAGAAGAGCTATTTGTACATAACAAAGTAGAGATGAATAATCTAATGAACTACAGTTGGAGAATTAAACACTTGGTCTGTAATAGTGCAACTAATAGATAATACTCAAAATCCTGTTACCTGCATTCACTGGCGTAAGTCCAACAGCATACATTTCAGTGGTGAATTGCTTCCAATTAAGAAGTCAAAGCTTGTATTTTGTATTGCACACAATCTCACACAGTTGGAGTGTGACAAGAAATGGTAAGCACCCATTTTTTAACTAATGAAAATTTGAAGCTGAGATTTACACCATTAGACTTGACACCAGCAAGTGTAAGTAATAGGACTGTGGCAAGTAGTGCAATAAATCCAAATAGTAATTGAGCTTGCTCTCATGTCTCCTTGGATTAGGACATCGAGTGATGAAAATGTGCAACATGTACTGAAATGGCCTCTGTTTCTAATGAAATCTTTGAAACAGCAATATAAACCCAGAGTTACTGTTCTGGCCTGGTGTATCAGGTTCTCCTTATTTCTATTCTACTGAACTGTTTTGACTTAGAGGATTGTTTGATTTAGACTCACTGAGTTATTATCTACTGGCTGCACTCTTAAACTGACTGGCCCAAATCCCATTGTGTATGTTATGTTTGCAGAAGGGTGATGATATCATCAGTCAAGGGAATGTTTTGATAATTAAAGACTTTTCCTTCTGTTTCATGGGCGGTCCAACTCACAAAACATCTGTTTCATTGTGTGGAAGCCATGAGAGCTGTGGGGCAGAAAGGGAAGGTTTTTAATTACTTTAAACTTAGAAAATAAGGTTTTAAAAGAATTTAATGTGCAATAATTTAGTGCTCCTCAGCAAATTCATATGGGAGATACTTTTGAAAAGTGGGCATTTCTGCTCTTTTTCCCTTGCTTATTAACACTGTGAGTTTCAGAAGCAGGTTGAATGAAATGTTTTTTTGAGGGGTAGCAGTGAGGAAAAAATGTGTACTGTTCTTAATAACAAGGTGACACAGGTTTCCCAGCACTCCACCTTTGGGTTTTATAGGAAAATAAATTAGTTTTAGTGGTCTTCTGAGAATATACACGCTGAGTTAAGGCAAAAGATATCAAGGTTTTGACAGTTGCTTCAGTGCTTGGGGACCACCTTGAGACACAGTGTTCTGCGAGAGCAATGTTGCTTCCAGTTACAGATTGTAAAGTCTGTTCAGGCTGATGGGGATATGAGCTGTTTCTAGTCATTAAGTCAAGGAGTCACAGAAACATAAATCATTTAGTATTAAATTCTGTGCTACTCTCTTAGATTAGATACAGTGGTTGAGGTGAGATCTAGTACTGCAGTGTTACCTAGGATTAGATTTAATTTTTTTTAAAAAAAGAGAAAGCATATGTGAAATGTTGCTTAAGTTGTTGATAGGCAATTATACCTATTGCCCATAAATTCATTCACAGTTCAGAACGTGTTGGCTGCCTGAAAAACAGTGATGGCTGGTAGTGATATTTCTATAGATTTAGTAGGGTGAAGGAACGCTAAGTAATGATACATGGGCCATTGTATATCATCATGGCAAGTAGGTGTCTATTTCTGAACAACCAAACATGTCCACTTATAATAAATCAGCACATAGAAGCTACTAATTCCAGATAGTTGTGGCTTTTGGCTTTGAAATGCTTAGCTAGACCTGCTTGTAATTTTTGGTTTCAGCTTTTACATGGTCTTTGTAATTGTTGAACTGTTGAACTGAACATGCATAACTCAGGTTAAGTCCAGTTCGACTGCAGCTCTGAAATCTTGGCTTTAAAAATATTTAGGAAACATAATTAAGAAGTGTATGAAATATCGTTATCTAAAATCTAAAACTATTATGAGGGCAGAACTTGCAAGGAACAAGATATAAATGACTAGTTACTTGTTATTAATTTATTTTCCCAGTAACAGTGCTACAGCTACATTGTATTATTATAATAATAAAATGAAGGATGACTTCAATCGTTTTTTAAGTGTAGCTACAGCCTTTAAATTGCTTTTACTGTTAAGAAAATTGACCCCACTAAATGCTGGAGGAGGAATCTCCCATGGTTCAAACGCTGGCTTCTGCTGAGCCTCTTCCTGCTGCCTTGTGGTTTTTGTGGGCAGGGAAATGACAAGGAAGATGGGAGAAGTGTGTGTTTTGTACCACAAGTTGGCAGCATTCAGCATTTAAAACGATCATCAGATTAACTAGATTTAATGGTCTGCATAACATAATTGTGTGGGACGTGGTGGTGCTGTGGGCTAAACCGCAGAAGCCTGTGCTTCAGGGTCGGAAGACCAAGCAGTCGTAAGATCGAATCCATGCGACGGAGTGAGCGCCCGTCACTTGTCCCAGCTCCCACCACCCTAGCAGTTCGAAAGCATGCAAATGCGAGTAGATTAATAGGGACCACCTCGGTGGGAAGGTAACGGCGTTCCGTGTCTAAGTCGCACTGGCCATGTGACCACGGAAGATTGTCTTCGGACAAAACGCTGGCTCTATGGCTTGGAAACGGGGATGAGCACCACCCCCTAGAGTCGAACACGACTGGACAAAAATTGTCAAGGGGAACCTTTACCTTTACCTATAACATAATTGCTTTGTTATAGAGTTCCTTTACGTGCTCACTGTACAGTATATAAGCTGGCGACTGTTTTGTGTAGAGTGGTTGGTTCTCTGCATATTGCGTTGTACCTAGTCTTCTGGATATCAGTATGCAGAGAAATGAAGGGGTTTGCAGTCAGAAAAAATATTTTTATAATTGTCTGACTTTTGTTTAAATTTTATCTGCTGTTCTTTTGGTTGACAGTAGGTGGCGATATAAGGTTGCACACTTGTACAGTAAAGACATGCTCTTTCCCTTCTATTTTCTCATCCCTTTCTTGATTTTATTAGGATTGGCAGGTGCCAGTTTGTGGGCATTACCATTAAGTAAATGAATTAAAATGGCACCTTGATTGTGATAGGGCTTACTTACATTTTGCACAGTGCCTGTGACACAAAGATGATACACTAAGCTGGCTGCAGCACAGCTGGGAGAGAAAGCGTAGCTGATGGCTCTCTTGACTCTAAAACCTTAGAGGGCAAACAAATACATATTGCTTTTCCAAATGAGGAAAGTTTTGCCATCCTGTGTTGAAGAGCATCAGATGAAAAAGGGGGCAAACATTCTATGGGCCCTTCCCATATGTTTTACATTATTCTTTGTCCATGTATCATTATCAGTAGCAAAGAAAGAAAGAAAGAAAGAAAGAAAGAAAGAAAGAAAGAAAGAGATTTGAATGTGCTCTTAGTGGGGAATATTCAGTAATGCAAAGTAAGGAGATGAGGAGGAGCAAATAATCCCGTAATGTTTGAAATACCTGTCAGTAGAAGTATAGTTAGAATAGCTATAGAAAAAAACATTGTGAAATCTCGACCAAGAAGCAAATACGCTATGGCTGTACAGTACCTTTGTGAAAATGTAGCTTATGGAGAACTATGTCAGGTAAGAGGTCCTGATTTAGTCAGTTACTATTCCAAGATTTAAGGACCCTTCTGAAGAAAAGGTTGATGTCCCTGTGTTTTTCATCTCTCTTGGCTATAGCAACACTGACTGCAAAATTGGTATATGCAGCAGGAGTCCTGTCTATCATAACAGTAAAAATAATTGTTCGTGTTGTCACAGACTGTTAAAAGGATGACTATTTACCCATTGATGTTCAGCTCTGTGCTGATCAGATTAAGCAAGTGAAGCATTTTTAGCTGAAAAAATAATAAACCATGTTTGGTCATTGTTCAAATAAAGCTCTCTTTTTTTATGTTTTAAAAAACAATTCCCTTACGAGAGACGTTCCTCTTTGTTTTCTTTTCTCATCTCTGTTAGAGTCACCAGATGCAGATATTGCTATGGAGATAGCAACGGCCGAGCAGCATGTTTCTGAAGCCATCTATGATTGTGTTATTTGTGGACAGAGCGGCCCTTCCACTGAAGAGCGGCCGGCAGGATTAGTTGTCCTCCTTCAGGCTTCTTCAGGTGTGGCTTCCAAATCAGACCATTGTGGTAGAGTTTATAGAGCACGGACATTCTAAATTCAGAAAGAGGAGGATGTATTTTGGGGAGTACAACCCATTTACAGTTATTTCTCATGAATATTGACTTCTTTGTTCAGGTCACAATGAAGACTTTTCAATGCTTGCCCTCTTCCTCTGGGTTTCCTGCAGTGACTTCCTGTTCTTTGATTAGAGATCAGAGATGACAGCATAAATTCAGCGACGTACCACCAACCTTCCCTTTGGGGGAGGCTGGTGCTGTAGATAATTCTTGCTGATCTCCCTGATCTTTAGCCAGGGATAACCAGGGGCTTCCCCCATTCCCATTCTGTTTCCATTCGGGAGGGTGGGAGGATTTCTGTGAGTATGGAAGGGAGATCATCCCCCTAATGTTCACAGCCTGGGCTGCGTGTATGAATGTTTCCCTCCCTTTCCCTCGGATGAAGTTGAAGTCTTGTCTGCTGCATCACTGATATTCTTTCTCGTTGTAGTTTTGGGACAATGTCGCAATACGGCTGAACCGAAAAAGCTGCCGACATCAGAAAAGGAGCAGATATATCCTGGGGATACGTGTGCAGCTGTTTATGAAACACGGCTTGCAACTTTACAGCAGTTTTTTAAAGATGTATGTTTTTGTAGCTGTATGTGTGCTAGTAATCCATTTATTGCATTACATTAAATTGCATTATGAATGGGTTCTTATGTTTGCATTCTACAGTAACAGTTATAATGTTGTTAAATTCAAATGGTAATTGTGAAGACTTTCACTAAGGACATGAAAAATCCCCGCTTATGTGGTTGGACTGGAGTACACTATTGTACAACTAGTTGTACAAGCAGTTACACAGGTGTTGTGCAACAAACCAGCACAGCTGCTTGAACAGCTTCCTATACAGGTGGTTGCATAACCCGTTGTGCAGTAAAAGCATGGATACCTCCCTTGTGGTAACTCTGAAACTGTGCAGTCCTGTTTTTTTTTTAATAAAATAACTGTAAGTGGATTGGATGACTCTAAAGTAAGTTCCGCTTGTTTTGTGTTGCTGCTTCCCCCCCCCCCCATGAATATTCCAGCCTCTTCTACAGTTACGATTAGCACTGCAGTCCTCTCCCCACTTGGGGTTGGTCCTGTTGAAAACAGTGAGGCCTCCTTCTGGCAGACACAGATAGTACTGTGCTCGAGACGGGAGCACAGCAAAGACATGTTGCCTCTGCAGAGCAGAAAAAGATAGCAGGGATGAGCTCAGCTGTACCCTCGCCCACTCTGTGCTGTGACAGCAGCCTCACAAGTGGAGGGGCATGGGTGGGGCAGCAGCTGCTCTTTTCCCCATCGAGTCCTCTTCTGCCCTCATGGATCAACTGCAGCTAGGACTGCTCCCCCTTCCTGTTCCCCTCCGAGGTGCTGGCGGTGCATCTGCCAGCAGTGGCAGGGGAAGGGGTGTCCCTACGACGGCCTGGCATCCTCTTCCTGCTGTGACTGAAGGGCAGGGGGTAGTGAGGAGGGCGGCAGGAGGGAGCTTACTCTGTTCCCCATACACTGTCCAGCATGAGGTATGATGAGCCTAATCCTGGAACTTTTTACCATCCCTGTTTCCCCAGTAGGTTAGCCATCAGTTTGACTGCTCTGCAGAACAGGAAAATAGATCTGGTAACCATTTGGCCCTACAAACTCCTTAGGCTGTATTTCTTTAATCCCAATCATTTGATGAAGAGAAGGGACTTATTTTGTGCTCCTTGTAGTACTTATGTGTTACTCTTTGTAGTGCTTTGCTGTTCATACTCTGGTTTTTAATAGTATTTTTTTATTAATGGATTGTTCTGTTTTTGTGTAAAAGGATCCCCACTCTGCATTTGCAACCACCATTTGCTGCATTTGTGACGAACAATTTGCGTGTGCAATTGACCTTTTTTCCAAATTGCTGCTTGCCCACCTCCATGGCATGGCTGTGTCTTAGCCAGTGAATAGCACCTGGTTTTGAGGGTTGCCCTTGAGGCCAGGGGACTACAGAATCCTAGAACACTGGAGTTGGAAGGGGCCTCTAAGGCCATCAAGTCCAGCTGTCTGTTCAGTGTAGGAATCCAAAACCAAGCAGATCTGACAGATTATTGTCTAACTTTCTCTTGAATGCCTCCAGTGTTGAAACTGAGGTCATTGGTCATATTGTCCTAAAGCTCTAACATGATAGGTATTCGTCGCCATCCCCCCACCCCCCATCACAACATCCACCCCTCCTGTCATGGCGTGGCTGTAACATCTTCCACCCCTATATTACTCATATAGCTGGGCAAGAAGTGGCCAGGTTTTTGCAGGTGGGCTGGCAACAATGTGAGAAAGAAGATACTGCCCTTGCCCTCCCCTATTTCTGTCTGTTCTCGTTTTCCATGAGTGGCAAGGAGCTTCAGCCAGTGTGAGCACTACACCTGTGCTCCATGGCTATAAATAGGATGCTGGCCTCTTGTTCTTTCTGCAGTACAGTCTCTTGAGGGCTATTCATCCTTGGGAAACTAGGTTGCTGCCTTATAAAATGCTACATAGAGGTAGTCTGTTTCAGGCTATGTATAATGATAAGAGTTGTGTCATTTTTAGAAACTGTTTTCATAGAGGTAGTCTGTTTCAGGCTATATGATGATAAGAGTTGTGTCATTTTTAGAAACTAACAGGTTTATGTCAGTGTCAGCTTTTGTGGATTTACACTTCACTCTTTCAGACAGAAGTTCCACAACACCATGTATATTTCAGTCTGATAATGCCTAGTCAAAAATTAGTTATATCAGGTGTTTTTGCCTTCTCTGTCATTAGTATGCCACAGTGCTCACAGCAGGAAGAAATTACTGTAATTCTTAAATTTCTGTTGGCATAAAAGCAAAACCTCCGTTAATCCTGCAGATACTCTTTTCAGCCGAGCCCAACAGTGAGTCCTGTTGTTGATAAGCACTGCCTTAACATTAGGCTTTCTTACTTTGATGAGACTTATTACAGAAGGTGTCAAGAAATAATTTTACTTAGTTGTAAAAGTACATGCCAAGGTATAAAATGGAAGTCATATATTTTGCAGAAAAGAAAACCTTAGTTTTTAGTTTTGTTAAAAAATATGATACTCTCTCTTTCTGTGCAGATAGCAAGCAAGCCTGAAACAGTATGGGGGAAATCCCCTTTCTTTTGCTGTTTTGGGGTGTTTTGGGGTGAGATTAGTGTAAAAATAAGAATCTTGGAGGGTTAAACACTTCCCAAGGAATCGTAACCATTAAAAAAAAAGTTAGGCTCATGTGGCTACTTGGCTGCTGTCTCAAGACTATGTCTCAAAGCACTGGGGGAAAATGTGTGTGGAAAAAACACATCTGAATAGCATTTTACTTGCCTCAAATGGCTTTAGCAGTTTACTCCTAAGTGTTGCCAGCAAATGGGCAAAACTGCATTTAACTTTAATATTGCCGGAAAAGTGCCACAGTGCATTTAAAGCTTGTAAAATGCTTGCTTTTATGTATTTTCCCCCATTGCTACTGAATTTCAGTGTTGTTGGGCTGTGTGGCCTGTAGCAGATCCCAGAGGGACAAAAGTGGTCTTTGGACCCACCGAAATTGCCCACCCCTGGCCTAATAGTGCAAGATACTTTGTCCCTCTCTATGGCTTGGCCTACAGCTTCCATTGCGCCCACTTAGCAGGGCCAGTGGTAAGGGACTGTGACAGCTGCAGGTCAAAACAATGAGAAGACTTAGGTTTTCTACCTGTGGCCTCCTGCTGAAACTTTCTTTTCTCCTTTAATGAACTAAGGCGAACAGCTTTTATTTTTTTCTCTTCCAAGCAGCTGTTAAGAGTCCATTATGCTCAGAAACATTGTGTGACATTTTCCCCCTGCAGGGCAAAGCAATAGGATGGAGGCAGCACTCTTTAAATCCCCATTTCCTGAAACTAGGAAGTCAGTGGGCTGACAATAGTGCCACAGACAAAAGCATCACAGGTCCTACTTATTTATCACACTACAGGAATGTCTGTGCAGGTTGCAGTGCAGAAGAGTGCAGGAAAACGATTAGTTGATCAGCCCAGCCTGGTAACTTTTTCCTGTAGGTCCACAAGTTGTTCAGTTTAGCTCCAGATCTCAGAAGTGGCTGCTTTGATCTGAAGCTTTCCTCTGTGTCAAGAAACTTATTGGTAGAGATCCAGGTTTTGACTAAATAGATGTTCTAGCTGAGCGGCAGGCACAATTTTTTTGCGGTGACTTCATTGCTGCTTTGTCCCGCAACAGAATTCTCTCAACAGGCAGCACCCTGGAGTTTCCCGTTTTCTTGCTTTTCCCTGCAGCAGCTGCTTGGGAATACAGCAAGCTCCATAAAAAGAGACAATGAGCAGTTACCTCCCTTTTGCCCCCCTGTCCCATAGAATTCATCGGCTCATTATGGCCATGTTGTTCTTACTTGGCTTAAACATGGTGTTCTATTTTTTTGTGTAATGTAACTAGTAGTTTATCACCAGACACTTGGTCTTCAGACTCTTGTGCTTCTTTGTTTGTTTGTTTGTTTGTTTGTTTGTTTGTTTGTTTGTTTGTTTGTTTGTTCGATTTATATCCCGCCCATCTGGTATATTCTACCACTGGTATATTCTTCCTTCCACTCATGCCTGGTATGCCCATGGGTAGAGGATCAGGACTTTTGCTTCTATTTTCAATAAGGTGTAGCTCAGTGGTTAATTTTAAGTATTATTACCATATTTTTCCATGTATAAAATGACACTTTTTCCTAAAATAATTAGGGGGAAAATTGAGGGTCGTTTTATATGCGGAAGGAGGCGGAGGCAAAGGACCACTCGCGTGCACTTGGGCACCTCTTGCTGCTGCCCATTGAAAGGAGGTGGAGGCAAAGGACCACTCGCGTGCACTCGGGCACCTCTTGCTGCTGCCCATTGACTGCTTCTGCCACATCACTTCCTCCAGCACTCCCTCCAGGCAGGGGACAAGGCAACGATGCCGTGAGCTGGAGGTGAGCCCCGGCAGTTGCATCGCTTCCTCCAGCACTCCCTCCGGGCAGGGGACAAAGCGGCAATGCCGTGAGCTGGAGGTGAGCCCCCGCAGTTGCAATGGAGGAGGTGATCGGGCGGCAGAGGCAGCAACAGCAGCAGGAGATGGAGGTGGAGGAGCAGTTGCCCGTTAACTGCTCCTCTGCCTCCAGCAAGGGTCAAAATTAGGGGGTCGTCTTACACATTGGGGGGTCGTATGCACAGAAAAATATGGCAATCTTAAAGATGAAAGTTGGCTTCAACCATAATTGCTGTTTGGCCACAGCCTTTTAGTGATGCTAAGCATGCAGTTAAAACAGACCAACGGTTCTGAATTACCTCTTGCAGCTCTGGCAGAGTTGGAAAGGCTAGTAAGGGAATAACAAAGAGAAGGCTCATCCACAAAACTCTAAACCATATTTTAATGATACCTCCGGACAGAGCTGGGACTCCTATTGTCTTGCAGTTCAAACACATTTTATTACATGTTTAGGAAACACGTCTACAGTTGTACTTATTCTAGAAACTGATGTTGAAATTTAACAGGAACAACCTATGACATCCGTATTTATTCAGGCTAAAATGAGATGCACTTAGTACAATGCCCTGTGTTTTTAAACATATTCAAATTCTTTCTCTCCCTCTTTTTCCTTTTTAGAGTTCTTGCCTGCAGTCAGTGTCAATTGGCTGGGAAGGAGGTGTATATGTACAAACCTGTGGGCATACCTTGCATATAGATTGTCATAAATCTTACATGGAGTCGTTACGGGTAAGTCAAACTGGATTTTTTGTTGCTGATTTTTTTTCTTTTTAAACCAAAAGTTCTGCTGCTAGTATATAGGTAGTAGAATCCCATTTGTGTACCGTTAAGGATTTTTGCAGTACAAGGTTAGAAATCCTATAGTTTTAAATAATTAGAAATGCATTCTTCTCAACTCCATACACTTAAATATCTTAGTGTATAAATGTATAATCTGCAATCCCTATAAGAGTCTGTAATTACAGGATTAAAACTATTTGTAATAATTGCAGTATGGTACCCACTTGAAAAAATCATGGTGAGGCTTTGACTAAGAAAATATAGAAAAAATGCTTTGTTCAGTGCTGTAAAATTGCAGACCTTCACTGATCACAGGCAGATGTCACTGAATGAGAGTCCTGTTGGTAAACAATGTATTGAAAAATAGTTTTACAGTTTAATTAAAGAGGAAATTAGTGGGAGAGGGAAAGTTCAATGTTACCTGTAAGATAAGATTAAGACATCTAATCTAGCATCATCATCATATACTGATTTATGGTGACCGTTTTCAGGATTTTCCAGATAGAGAATACTCAGAAGTGGTTTAACATTTCCTTCTTCTGGTGATATCCTGGGACTGTGCAATTTGCCCAAGGTTACACAAGTTTGCTCTATTTCTGGGAGGCACAGTAGGAAATCAAGCTCACAACAGCTGCCTTCAGAGCCAAAGATCTAACTCACTGAGCTGTCCATGGCCTCCTCCCATAATGCAAAATCTGGCATATCTGTTCCTATCCCTAACCCTATAAGTAGGACATGAAGCCAGAAATCCTTCTATTGCAGCTTAAACTAAACTTCTGCATATGGTGGGAGGAGGGCATCTCAGGATCCAAGCAAGCAAATTTTGGATTGATGATTAAAATTGGGTCAGTGCTATAAAACATTGTCCGTAGTGATGTGTACATATACTAAATAATGACCTGCAGAATGACCTTTTGCATATAGGAGTATAAGATATCCTACAGATCAGGGTAGCATCTGGCTTTGAGTGTCCATTGTTGACAGTGGACAAGTCAGAACCAAGGAAGAGGCAAGTGGATGAAGCAGTGAATAGAGTTGCTCATTAGAGTGTTGCTCCCTTGCATCATTTGACAGATTCACATATTTGATCCCTAAACTTGAGGTACCTTGTTTTGCGACAATGAGATGCCAATTGGGAAGACCAGTACTTTGAGAAAGTTCATATAGAGTTGATTGACAATTCTCAAATTGGCTTAGGAAGGCTTAGTGCTGCTGAGTGCTTCTCATGGTAACCCTGTACAGATAGTCTCATACCCTGAGTCTTTGTTGGCTCACTGAAGCAGAGAGAAGTTTTTGAAAAGTTAATTACTTCTGCAGCAGTGGAACAGAAGGGGAAGGAAGTGTGGTGAAGGACCTGTGACTTTTGTACCTTTCAGCAATACGCTTTAGCCACGAGCTGTCTTGAGCAATGTTGCATGGGGCAGAATGTACATTGTTGTGTAGAATACTTGAGGTCTTTGCTTTTTCTTTAAGACTTAGAGAATTGAGGGCATCTCACAGTCCTATGATAAGAAAGTTACAGTGGTGCCCCGCATAGCGACGTTAATCCATTCCGGATTAATCGTCACTATGCAAAAACATCGCTAAACGGATCGAAAAAACCCATAGGAACGCATTAAACTTGGTTTAATGCGTTCCTATGGGGCCCAAACTCACCGTTCAGCGAAGTTCCTCCATAGCGCTGCCATTTTCGCGCCCTTGGTAAGCGAGGGCAGGGCGCGAAAACACTTCTGGCAGCCATTTTGGGCACCCGGCATCCATTTTGGAACAGCTGTTTTTAAAAAATCGCAATGCGAAGATCGGTAAGCGAAATGCTTACCGATCATCGCAATGCAATGTTTTACCCATTAAAACATCGCAATGCGATCACATTAGCGATCTAAAAATTTAGATCGCTCTGCGGATTCATTGTTAAACGGTGTGCTCGTTAAGCGAGGCACCACTGTATTCAATTTTCTGTTTCTGGGGAATTGATACTTTTAAATGTACAGAGAATTATAACATTATCCTCCTACTAGTCATAGTAAGAAATTCTTTTTGTAATAAATGAGCACTGAAAGGAAGTAATCATCTTACAGGGGTTGAGGTTAGGTACTGCTCTGAGTACAGTACAGTGGACCCTTGACTTACAGACGGCTTGACTTACAGACTTTTTGAGTTACAGACACCACTGTATTCAATTTTCTGTTTCTGGGGAATTGATACTGTTAAATGTACAGAGAATTGTAGCATTACCCTCCTACTAGTCATAGTGAGAAATTCTTTTTGTAATAAATGAGCACTGAAAGGAAGTGATCATCTTATAGGGGTTGAGGTTAGGTACTGCTCTGAGTACAGTAGTACCTCGGTTTACAAATGCCTTGGTTAATGTAATTTTCAGTTTACAAATGGAAATCCATTGAAAATAATGCCTTGGGTTATGATTTTTTTTTCTGCACTACGAAGGAAGTTTCCCTAGGATGCATTGTGCCTGAAGGTTTATAGTGCCGCTCCCGTTCCTATGTCAAACAAAAATTTACAATTTTTTGCATTATGTAATGTTCCGGATAACACATTAAATTTGTAAAATGAGGTGCTACTGTATATGACAACAAAAAAAAGAATACAAATGTAGAAGACCATCTTTGAATCATATGGATTATGTAATTATGAGCCTCGTGGCGCAGTAGTTAAAACGCTGTACTGCAGCTAAAACTGTGCTCACGACCTGGGGTTCAAATCCCAGGTAGCCGGCTCAAGGTTGACTCAGCCTTCCATACTTCCGAGGTTGGTAAAATGAGTACCCAGCTTGCTGGGGGGGCAATGTGTAGCCTGTATAATTAAAAAAAATTGTAACCCGCCCGGAGAGTGCTTGTAGTGCTATTTATAATTAAAATTGTAAACCGCCCGGAGAGTGCTTGTAGCGCTATGGGGCGGTATATAAATCCAATAAATAAATAAATAAATAAATAAATAATTTGTGTGCATTCTGAATGGTTGGCAGTTTCAGTGGAATTTACACAAGGAGCATGTTTTGTATATTTTGGTGCTTTAGAAGAAGACCTCTTCATTAATAAGAAGTGTCTGTTTAGTGTCTATAAATTTCAGCAGTCAACTTTTTCTTGCTTTCAGATCTTGCTTTCTATTGAAATTCTAAGACAAATTGTGTATTGCTTCTGAAATTTACTTGCATTTCTGTTTCTTGCAGAATGACCAGGTTCTCCAGGGCTTTTCGGTGGACAAAGGAGAATTTACTTGCCCTCTTTGTAGGCAATTTGCTAACAGCGTCCTTCCTTGTTACCCTGGCAACAGTGTGGAAAGAACCCTATGGCAATGTCATAGTAACAAGACCATGCAAGATCTTATAAAGGAGGTGGAAGAGCTTCAAGAACAGCTGGGAACTTTCCCAGTAAGCATCAGTGTAAGGCAGAAAGATACTTGTTAATTTGTCTCCATCTTGCCACCTTCTATCTTTTTCCTTCTCTTTATCTCTTCCACCCCATCCTCCATGGCTCATTTTCATTTTATAGAAATTAAAATTTGAATGCTCTCTTCCATTTCTCTATTAAACACTTAAAGAGCTTAAATTACATTAATATTTTAACACCTTTAAAATAGGATATGATTATACGAGCGTTTTCTCCTACATTTCAGTATATATATTATTGGTCATTAAATTCATGCTTTCCATTCTTGTTTTGCATAGAACTCTGCACTATTACTTGGAACCTGTAATTTCTTTACGACATAAAGCATTAATCATTTGTATCCAGAAGCCATTTAAAATGCAGCAGCCAAGGGAATATTTAAGAATGTATATTATTCGTTTTACTATGATTTTTACATAAAAGAATGCATTCTAGAGATTCACAGTCCAAAACTACATAGCTGTAATTGTAAGCTTTCAGCTACAAGTCCTATAAGTCAGCACCTACATGGGAATAACTCAAATTGAACTTGATGGGACTGATGTCTAACTAGGACTTTATAGGATTGTAGTGTTAGAGCTACAGAGCCACAGGTTGGGAGATTGGTTCTCCACTCTGCCTTCTTGACAGGGTGGGTGGACTTGATGATCCATAGGGTTCCTTCCAGCTCTGCAGTCCTAAGCTTATTATTATTAGAGCATTCTAGCCTTAGCAGAAACCTTAAAATTAGAAGTGAATACATTTCTTTACAAAAGGTTGGTGCTTTAAAATTTCTGCATTGTATTTCCAAATAAATAAAATAAATGTGGAAACAGAGAAGTTAATAGTATTTCTGTAACAGTTGTACAACATTTTATAATATGTATCTTCTGTTTATGACTTACGTAATTTATAAAAGAGGTTTATAAAAGTGTTTCATGTTCTGCAGTCACTTCTTGGTGATGGTAAGTGAATGTATTTATTTTTTTTTTCACAGTCAGAAACCAATTTAAGTAAAGAAATGGAAGCTGTGATGAAGGACATAAAAAGCACTACACAAAAGAAATACACAGACTACAGCAAGTCTCCTGGGTCACCAGACAATGACTTTCTTTTCATGTATTCAGTAGCCAGGTGGGTAAAATGTCTGCTTGAATCCACATACTCCTGGTTGTCACCTGGTTGTTATCTTATCAATCAAATAAAGTGAATAACCATGTTGTGTAATTTGGCACAATTTCCTTGATTAACTGGATTCTGAGGAAAGGTGATCTAATGGTATCGGACATAGCTGCTGTTCTTCATATCTTGTGTTTTACTATGCTTTGTAGATCCAGAATGCTGTAGGAGCTTCAGTCTGAAGAGTCTTTCATTTGAGCTGGCCTTTCTGTTATTTTCAGTAGACCATTCATATCACCCAAAGGAGGTGACTTTATTGCCATTTTAAGTAAATCCTTAATTATTGATTTTGAAACTAGTATAGGAAAGCTAACTGTCTTCCATTTATTCAGCAGTCACCCAAAAAGTATATAAAATACTGAGGTTATATCTACATGTGTACAAAGAATGGAGGTAATTGTAATGAAACAGGTTGGAGTGGAGTGTGTTTATGTACTTTGATCCTGTAACTCTCCATGTATTGCTTAAGGAATTACAGACTCCTGAAACAGCGTGCTTTGTTATTGGTTAGAGAGAAGGGGAACAGTTCTGGAAGACAGTGGTAGAAATCCTCAAGCCATTAGGAGTCAAGGTTACGAATGTGTTTTTACATGTATGTAAAACAGTCCCCTTGATAGGTTGGCAAGAAGGAGTAGCTTCTAGAATTATGCAGAACCATTTCACAAGCCCATGCCTTATTCATCAGTGGAAAGCTCTGACCAGACTTGAGGCTTTCGATGCCGATTCTGATTAATTTACCAGGAAAAATAAATATATTCGTTCCAGAGTTCCTGTTGAGAGTAAAGAAGTCAAGCATATTTCAAAATCGTCACGGCAAAGACCTGGAAACAAAAACCTCTCTGCCTTTGGAAGACTGCTAAGCTGAAATTTCCCTTCCTTCCTTCCTTCCCAAATGACAAATACAGGAAAGTGGGAACAAGTGGAACAAGGGAAAGAAAACCAGTTGGTGATGGTGGTGGGATCTCCTTGGGATTCCATTTCATTTACTGTTGCTTTGCGTAAAACAGTGCTGGGAGTTAGTACGTCCTGTTTCTTTTCAGCCATGGCCGACTTCCTGGTTTCCTTAACATTTGAAAAGGTTACCATTTCTTTATCAGGGCTTTGATGACTGCTTCTCTTCCCAACTTGAGCCCTTGTAGGTTAAAAACAACAACATCTTATTGCATTTTAAGTTGAAATTGTACATATTCTTCCACTGACCACAGATTGAGTGATTATTCTTCTGCAAGTTCTTTGGATGTGTAGAGTTTTTTTCCTTGACACTGCAAATAGCCAGCTGTTTTGGAACTCAACAAAAATGCCTCAAGACACTGCTATGGTGTTGTGTCCTCTCCCCTCCTTTTTCCAAAGTGTACTGAAGTTACTGTCATGTCTGGATGTTTCAGGAGGCTGAACACCCTTTTCATTGAACCTTCAGGAAGCCATTCTGTTGTGACTAACTCACAGAAACTGTGAAGAAGAGCTGTGGTTGATGGATGAGGCTGTGCCTTGACCTTTATAAAAATGTTAGGAACTGAAGTTGGTTGGATGCATATTGCAATCCCCAAACCTCTTGTCCCAGAACTAGTTACCTGCTCCTAGATTCTTTCCTATCTGCTCTTAAATAAGAGGTTTCTGGCCTGTGCCCTTTATTGCAGGGTCACAGGACTCTAAAGGGCATATAATCCATCTCTGCCTAGAGGAAAAGCCCACACTATACAGAAAGATTCACAAGCACTGTGAGAGTGGGATTTTGCTAAAGTGACTTTGACATCAGTTTTTAGTGTGCACCTTAAAGGTATAACTAAAAGCATGTTGGTCTAAATAGCTATATGGCTTGTATCAGAGGTTTGCACTAGCCTAGTGAAATTTTTCACTTCTTGTTTTTCACTGAAACAGTTGTATAAAACTGCTTTTGAATCTCCCACTAATACAGGGTTAGATTCACCTTTCTGCAGGTATTAAGCAAAAGAACTGCAGTGTATTTTGGGCTACTTTACACTTTGCAAGGGTGGCTGCTGCTGTTCCTTGTAGTAAGTTACAGTTAGAGTAGGCCCATTTGAATTAGTGAAACTATGGAGGAGTTGACTCATCAGATTGCCACTGATTCACTTAGGCTTATTCTAGCACAACTTACTACGCCAAGGACGAGGATTTCATCATGGATTGGTTAAGGAAGATGGGCATAAAATATGAAAAACCTTTGTCTATATAATCTACTTAGCAGTCTTTTTTCTAATATATATATGATTTTTAAAAATAGGCCTGCTTGCCCAGACAATCCTCCTCCCCTGTATTTTCATCATGTGAGCAAACTGCTGCAGAACAAAACTGTGTGTTTGGGAGCAATATTTAGCTTGTACAGTATATGTGAAGGACTGACTTACTGAAAGCATTTGAGAGGTCAGATGAAATTAATGTGAAAACACTAAGAGGGGATGGTTGAAACAGAGTTATTCAATGTTTGAATATAGGTTCATGTGAACATTTGGATCAGGATTGTCAAAAAATAAAAACGTCTGTAGCATATGTTTTGATGCTACTTTGACGATGTGGTCAATAGGGTGACAGAATAGGACTCAGGCAAGGCACTTTTGAATCCTTGCTTGGTCATATGAAAATCACTGGGGTGGTGGCAGTAGTAAAACCACTCCTTAACTATCCCACATACCTTGAAAACCCTATTTAGCTCACTGTATGTTGCATGCAACATGACAGAACAGAACACTAATGGTCCCAACCAGTGATTCCCAACCTTGATTAACCCAGATATTCTTGGACTGCAATTCCCAGAAGACTTCACTACCAGCTCTGCTGGCCAGGTTTTCTGGGAATTGCAGTCCATCTGGGTTATCCAAGGTTGGGGACCACTTATCTACCGTAGTTTCTAGACAGTCATATAGCCCTCATTTATAGTTTTAGTAGAAATACACAATCAGCACAGAGTTCTTATTCTAATCCAGTTTATTGCAAATCCTTAGGTTAGTACACAAAACTATCTTGAAAATACTATATTTTTCCATGTATAAGACATCCCATGTATACGAACCCCCCACTTTTCTAATCCAAAATTAAGAAATATATATTTTAAACATAAAGCAGAATATATTTTTATTTAGTAATTAGGTAACATTTACATATCAGTACTACCCCATTGTGTCTGAGCACTGCCTACAGGCTCCACCTCTGATGAGGTGTGTTGCGTTTGGTTTGTTCAGCATCAGCTGGCGTCAGTCTCTTTAGGCTCATTATTGGAGGAAGCTAAGTCTCCTGACTGTAGGAAGCTAAGCCTTGTGATTGGAGGGAGCCTGTTTGCAGAGCCAAGGTATGGGCCGTTTTGGAATCATGCGGTTCTATCCTCAGCTTACTTCTCTGTATAAGATGACCCTCAATTTTTAGTCTAAAGATTTTAGACAAATGTACCATCTTATACACGGAAAAATACGGTAATGACCAATAAACTAAATCATTTGTGGAAGAACGTTATTGTTATAGGAATTTATATTTGTTTTTTCTCCTCCAATGGGACTATAGCTGCAGGTGTGATATACTGGAGGCTTTCCCAGAATCTTGCTATCTTCTAGAATGTTCATTTAGAGTTACAGTGTTCTATAACCCAAGTGCTAGCAGGAACAGCTATTAGTAACAGAAGAAGTGAGGCTATCATGTATAATTCCTTGTTGTAACAGTGGTTGTGTTCATTGGATAATGCCTGTGACATCACTGATTGGAGTCAAGCCTGTTCTGCTGTTCCATTGGCTCAGCTATTCTTTGTTTCTCTTCTTTTGGAGGTGTTTCCTTTCCAGCTGCTTGCAATAAGAAGACCAATGAGACCTGACTGTGTTGCATTTGACCTTTTTAGAACTTTATAATCTTAAGAATTTCTGCCTGTGTTTCATGTTTCTTTCCTCCTTATCTCTCTTTTCTTTTGTGTTGCCTTGATTTATTTATTGATTCTTTTGTGTTGCCTTGATTTATTGATTTGTAAGCTACTCTTAGAGTCTTTCTAGCAAATATGAATGTGTTAAATGAAAAAAAAATCTAAAGGTTTGTGGAAATAAACATTTGACTTATTAATATTCCAGTGGTGAATGAACATGTGGTTTGCATTTCTTATTCTGCCCAGTAATGCAAAATCTATGTCCCAGTTTCTTTGCTGGTAGATTTTTAGAAGTTCAGTGAGTACAGCAAATCGCCTGAAGAGTGGAAAATTCCCTTGTCACATGACTAGCCTTATCAGCAGCAACCAGATGGAGCTCAGGGCCTGAACATTATCAATGTTAAATTGCTTTTTTTCCTAAAGAAGAGAGGATTAAAGCATTGCTTCAAAAATGGATGACATAAGCTGTAAACTTGGGGATATTAATATTTTGAAATTTTACTATTTTAGTAATGTGTGAATATATTTTAACAAACATTGCATGCAAACTGAGCCATCTTTTTATTGAAGCCGCTGGAATTTTTGCAAGACATTTTATTTTGAATGAAGTCATTGTATTCTGACTAGCTATATTTTATCTCATGCCATAATCTAATGACTTATTCCATCACTTTAATATATCTTTTAGGTGTGTTATGTGCTCCCATTCCGACTGAAAAAAACAACAAATCAGCTGGGCTGTACAATGTTTACTGCCATTTTAATACACAATTGCTTTTTCTCCATGGTCTCTGTGAATCACACATATTTGGAAATACTGTTGAGCATTGTACCACCATATGACTTCCTCGTCATGGGGACAATTGTATGCAAATAATTCAATAAGGGAAGCTGCAACCTTGATTTAGTGAGAGAGGCTGTTAATGAGAGGACTTTTTGGAGGTTGCTAGTTTATACCGTCACCATGCCTTATATTGAGTCATAAGTCACCACTAGAGTAGGTCCACTGAAGCAATAGAACTGACAGAGTAGCTGACTCACCAGATCCATACCCATTCAGTGGGCCTACTCTAATTGTGACTTACTGTTGGATTTCAGCCCATGATGCCAATGGGGACCTTGTTATATGAATATACCAGCTGCAGCCCTCTTTGTAAACCACAGTAAATGATCTACAGTAATTTGAAAACTATGTACCTGAGGCAATGGTAAATATGTAGGAATTGTTTTATATCTCTACAGTGTGTAGGTAATTAACATGCAGACTTTTCCTTTTTTTTATTCAGGACAAACTTGGAACTTGAGCTGGTTCATCGGGGAGGGAATCTGTGTCAGGGAGGTGCCAGCACAGCTGGGAAGAGATCATGTTTGAGTATGTATATTATGACTCTGTGTTACCCTGCAAAAATTAAATAAGGGTTACTTACAAGGTCAGACCTACCTTATGATTTGTTTACCAGTTATTTAACTGCTAAAACGTACTTAGAGTCTATGTACTGGGTGGAAGGTGTTTTTGTAAACGCAAGAAGCTACCAGAGCATGCATTCACCTATTTAGACACACTCTTTGACACAGATGTGAATTAGACAGATGGAGCCCTTTTCACTTGCATACGGTTTCTGGTTCTCCAGTTGGAACCATTTTGAAATAGCTTGAACAGTTGGAAAGGTGGAATAATTGTTCATTTCTATTCCTTTCCTCTGAATCGTTCTGAGTACAATCAGTTTTATATGACCTGAAAAGCTAAGCTTGATTGGGATGGGTGAGTGCAGTGGTTCCTAATTTTGGGTCTCCAGATGTTCTTAGACTAAAGATGTCTTCATCATTAAGCTATACTGGCCAGGACTCTTGGGAGTTGTAGTCCAGAACGTGTGTGGTCTACAGGTTGGGAATCACTGGGTTACTACAGAACATGTGGGGACTACAGGTTGGGAATCACTGGGTTACTACAGTATTTGGATGGGAGGCCATTTGGGAATATTGGGTACTGTACTGAGGGGGCGGGGCTGTAGTAGATTGGTGGAATACTTGTACAGCATGTAGAGGGTCCCAGGTTTAGTTCCTGGATTGCTCAGTAGGGCTAGAAAAGAATGCTGTCTGAAACCCTGGAGACCCACTGCCAGCCAGAGGAGTCAAAATTGGACAAAATAGGTCAATGGTTTGATTAAGTGCAAGGCAGCTTCCTGTTGAGCTACATTTTTAGAAAGGGAAGAGTGATAATTGTGATCTGCCATGTCTTCTGGCCTCCTGGTTGCCCTGTCCTGCCATGTGGGGATGGTGGTAACATCATTGTAACAGCTACTGTATATACACAGAAAGGAAGCTACATGTATGCTTAATATACTTAACTCGATGGTTTAAAGAAGTGCATGCCATTGTAGTTTTTTTTTTAAGAACTAGAGATGCAGAGACTCATGGTAAAATATGGGTCTTATTTTTCTCAAACTCTCTCTCTCACACACACACACACACACACGCACGCACACACACACACACACACACACACACACACACACACACGAGGGGTGAAGAATTTTGGTTTGTGAAATGTTTTGTTATTGAATGACAGTGAATTTTTTTAGAATGACATGATTGTACAGTACGTATGTTGCTATCCAGCTTTATTCACAAAAATAATGTAGAAGTATGTTTAGCACCTGGAATAGGATCCAGTAGGCTTGTTCCAAAAGCACAATTACTTCTGTTAGCAGAACAGGAAGGTAGCAAATTTTAGTCTCATTATAGTGCCCATGTGCCCTCAGTCTTCTTTTGAGGGATAGGAGACCATCTGAAATGGGGTTTTGGGTGACATGTATTATGGTGGTGAGGAGGGACGGGGAGTTCCATTGTGTTCGTGCTCAGGCATTAGTGTGATATCATATGTAAGTCCTATGTTGGAAGGAACTTTCGCATTTTGCAGAATGCAGGATATCCTGAGTTTTTTTGCTCTAGGAACACCATCTGGGGTTTGTTTCTTTGTTTCCAACATTTGTACTCCTATGCTACCTCAGTAACATGTGCTACTCTGGGCAGTTTACAGAAAGCGCTGTGAGACATCCTCCTCCTCTCCCATGGTGCCAAATCCTTTGCATGATAACAGCCTCTCCTTGCTTTTTACTGGCCACAGTTTCTTCTGTGCATTACAAGTTGACTTGTAATGCACCAAATAAATAAATAATTTGAAATGTGAAGATGATAACCCTTACAGTTGTTGAAAGGGAATGATCAGAAGAAACAGAAGCAACTGATAGTGCAGAAAATATAGACTGATTTGAACAGGGATTGGCAGCTTCAGGGGGCCCTGGGGCTGTTTTTGCCCCTCTCTGAGGACTTCAGGCAAATGAAATGTTCATTGGGGGGGGAGAGTACTTCCAACTCTCAAACAGTAATTTCAAATTTGTAAAGGGTGCTTAAATATAAGTTTTAAAAAGAAATATAGTAGACCTTCCATCCCATTCATTGATGTAAGAATGTTATTTCTGGAGGTTTACTGTTTTCTAGAAATTTTGTACTGCATCTGCAATACAAAGTGTGCAGATTTTTGACAGGAATTTCCCCATGTCACCATGTGAATGGTGTGTCAAGTCAAGGTCTGCCACTTTATCTCACCTCTAGCACCAGCATGCAGCCTCCTGACATAGAGACACAGAGGGATCGGGGGAAAAGCCCCATATGAGACATTCCTCTTCATGTGGGAGAATTGTATTATGTGCCTGGAACTCAGATATCTCCTGGCGCTTTAAAATGGAAAAGTCATATGGATATTCTTCTATAAATCCTTCAGCCATCTGCTAGAGCAGAAGTTATGATGAAATAACTTTCTCTTCAGATGTTTTGTATTTTTATTTTCCCATTTCTGAGTAGAAAATTGAATCAGCTAAACTGATACGAAACTGATCTTAGATTCATTTACTTACACACCTGTACATTACATATAAGAGAGAAAGCATTCCAAGAGTATAAAAATTATTCTACTGCAAATTCCAGTAACAGGCATTGCAATCACATAATGAGTGTATAATTATTCTTTAAGAGCCAAGAAACCACATCTAAAAATCTAAAAACATGCCTCGTAAATGTTTCAAATAATAGGTTCCAATATATTAAAAAATAATGCTAAAATGCAGTGTTCTTGCCTTAAGCCAGGATAAAAGTTCTTAATGTAGACCCATAATGTTGTCTTTCTTCCCTTGTTCCTCCTTAAATGCACTACATGTATATCTTTTTCTTCTGTGCTTTATATATTTGCAATTCTGGTTCTTTTTGTTAATAAGCATCTTTAGATATGTCTTTCTGTTGCCAGAAAGGGACGTGGTGGCGCTGCGGGTTAAACCGCAGAAGCCTCTGTGCTGTAAGGCCTGTAGATCTTCAGCTGTAAGATCAAATCCATGCAACAGATTGAGCGCCTGTCGCTTGTCCCAGCTCCCGCCAACTTAGCAGTTCGAAAGCATGCAAATGCGAGTAGATAAATAGGGACTTCCTCGGTGGGAAGGTAACGGCGTTCCGTGTCTAAGTCGCATTGGCCATGTGACCACGGAAGATTGTCTTTGGATAAACGCTGGCTCTGTGGCTTGGAAACGGGGATGAGCACCGCCCCCTAGAGTCGAACACGACTAGACAAAAATTGCCAAGGGGAACCTTTACCTTTACCGTGGTGCCTCGCAAGACGATTTTATTTCGTTCCGCGGAAATCGTTGTCTTGCAAAAACATCATCTTGCAAAACACAGTTCCCCATAGGAATGCATTGAAATCTATTTAATGCGTTCCAATGGAGAAAAAAATCGCTGTCTTGTGAAAATTGTCCATAGAAAACATCATCTTGCGAAACGCGGTTCTCCATAGGAATGTATTGAAATCTGCCGTATTGGGGAGAAGCAATCCTGTCACCTGCACTGCCTTTGGAAATTCAGTGGGTCTAAGATGGCCGTCCCCCTCTTTCTCTTTCCAGCAGCTTCTGATCATGGTGACTCCTTTTGCCCTGATCCTTTGCCACTGGGGAGAAAAAGAGGGAGAATGTAATATAAGACATCACCCAGACTTGCTACTTTTGCAATAGGTCCTGATGAGTGAAAAAGAGATCAAAAGGATTCTAAAAAGACCAGGGAAAACACAAATGCAATCCCCACTGCCACAAATTATGCAGTTGTCTCCTGGGAAATCACAGGGATGAACACACCTGAAGTGCAATGGATGAGCCTCACCCTGGGAAAACCACTTTCATGACCATGGTATTTCCCCTGCAAGGTATGAGTTGGAGTGGCCCTTGCACCTCCTACCCCCTTCTGTCCCCTGACCCCCCCAAGGCATGGTGACCCCCTGGCTGCACAGCCCCAGTCCTGCCAGAGGCCACAAGAGCTCCTCAGTGTTTTGAGGTGCCCCGCGGGACCCCATCAGGGCCTGGGTGTTCCTCCCACAATCCTGTAGTGCACAGGTATTCCTCCAACTCATACCTTGCAGGGGAAAAACCATGGTCATAAAAGTGGTTTTTCCAGGGGGAGGCTCATCCATTGCACTTCAGGTATGCTGATCCCTATGATTTCCCCAAATGTGGGAAACTCAACTGCATAATTTGTGATAGTGGGGGATTGCATTTGAGCTTTCCCTGGTCTTTTTAGAGTCTCTTTACCTTTGGTCCTTGGTGTTTCCACCATCCTCTGCCATTTAAATTTGCAGCCATTGGCAGCAAGGTCCTATGCAGCTGCCACAGTGAGCAGCCTCTGGTGCTGGTTTGAAGGCCTTCTGGCACAGTGGTGGAACTGTGGGAGGCTTCTGGGTGGGGGTGGCTGAAGAGGTTTTGAACCATTTTTACAGTATTCACTCCATAAGACACTATGGAGCAAAAATATGGTAATTAATGTGTTCCAATGGGGGGGGGAACCATCTTGCGAAGCATTGGTCTAAAAAAACCCCCCAAACTTCTTGCGAAGCATAGACCAAAACATCGTCTTGCCAAAATAGTCCATAGGAAAAATCGTCTTGCGAAGCACCACAGCGATCACAAAAAACATCGTCTTGTGGATTAGTCGTCCCACGAGGCAATCATCTTGCAAGGCACCACTGTACCTTCTGTTGCCAAATGTTGCTTATTAAGGAAGAATTCTAAACAGATATTTATAGTGTTAACTATTAATAAAAATATATTTATCCTGCCTGAAAAGCATATCTTTTTAACTTTGTCAGGGATCATGCATCTATAAAAGCATTATTATCAGAGATTTAGGCTGTGATCACATGGGGAAATAGATTGCAGTTCAGACCACTTATAGAGCGGTTCATTTTGTTCTGTTTCCCAGCGATTTCCCCAACATATGGGGAAATGAGTTTCAGCCTGACCCCAATCCATGCCCAAGATGGACCTTTAGGGTCCAGCT